CTTTCTACAGTTATATTGAAAGACCTCCAGCAGTTAAACTGGGTTAAAATCAACTTAACATAGGAATTTAAAAAAATAAACTTGTAGAATCTGTTTATTTTATTAGTGTCCCAGTAATCACTGTGGTCTGGAAACGTCGTTGAGGGGTACACTCAGAAATGTGTTAAAGTAGTAAGGATAAAATAAAATGTGTACACTATTAGAAAGCAATATCACATAGTTAAATGGACTACTTACTTCGGTAAAATAGGCACTAAAGAACTTGAGCAGATAACCTAAGCATCCATCAGCAGATGAATGAAGAAAACAGTGTATATAAACAGTGAAATAATATTTAGCCTTAAAAAAAGAAGGAAATCCTGTCATTTGTGGCAACATGGATGAACCTAGAGGGTATTATGCTAAGTGAAGTAAGCCAGACAGAGAAAGACAAGCAGTACATGATATCATTTCTATGTGGATTCCTGAAAGAAAGTCAAACTCATAGAAACAGAGTAGAAAAGTGGTTTCCAGGGACTGTGGGTGGGGGAAATGGAGTGTTTGGTAGATGGGCACAAACTTTCAGCTGTAAGGTGAATAAGGTCTGAGGACCTAATGTATAACATCGTGACTCTAGTTCACAAAAATTGTATTGTATAATATTATATAATTTAAATGTGCTAAGAAAGTTTTAATGTTCCCACCAAAAAAGTAAATAAATGAGGTGGATTTGTGAATTAATCTGGGAGGAATCTTTATCCTTTCACAATGTATATATTCTATCAAAACATCGCATTATGCACTGTAAATATCTTACAATTTTATTTGTCAGATAAACCTCAATAAAACTAGAAAAGAAAAAGAACTTTATGCAAGAACTGTATACAAAATAAAAACAAAAAGTCAGGGAGGGGTGAGTGCAGACCACGACACAGAATCTACCTGATCTACGAGGATGACAGAGCCTCCGCTAAGGGGGCGAGGACAGAAGGCGTGAACCTGAGTAACTTTGGAAAATGGTGTTTTGACCAGACACTGTGAGGCTAGAACAAAAGGAACTGTACATTCACACTGTACCCTAGTTGGTAAGGTTGTTTGTCATGGGTGTGCAGGTTAACAACTCTAAAACTATATACATGTATTCAGGAGTGGAACAAATAAGTAAGCGGATGGTAGATGGTGAGAACTGGCTTTCTCACTGTCGGAGAGGGAGGTCACAGATTAGCAAGGGCAAGAGGCTACAGTGAGCCATACAGGACTCAGTCAGAGTTGGAGACATCAGTATGAATTTATGCTTAGCTTAATATAGATACAGGAATCACTGCAGATGTGTGGTGGGTACACCGGTTCGTATACTGAGACACCTTTCCCAGATGTGTCCCCTGGGAGGGCTGGGAAGCAGCAACACGCAGAAGCAACAACACACCCAGATCTTGGTTTCTAAACACCATTCTCCAGTAAAAGTAACGAGGGCTCCTGGGAGAAATGGATAATTATAGGCCTGGAGCATCTTATTTTGCCAGAATATAAGGAAGGGCTCAAAGAACAAAGGATGCGGGCATGTCAGAGGACAGGAGCCAGTCTCAGAGAGCTCCTGATAGGCAAAGCTGGAAGGATTTAAGCAACAGTAAACAGTGTAGTACCGCATTATAACCCACAGTGTGAAATAAATACACATGAATGTATATGGGGAGAAGAACTGTCTTCCTTGTGGAAGAATTCCAAATAATTTATGTAGCTACTTACCCAGGTGCTAGGGGGCGAATTTCCCCACCTTAAGTATGGGCTGAACTTAGTGACTCACTTCTCAAGGATAGACCATGGCAAGGGGTAAAGGTAAAGTGATGGTGGAGAAACCTGACAAACCTTGCCTTAACCAAATAATCACGGTTGACGTGACCAGCAGAAAGTCACGTTATTAGCATGTACCCTTAATCTAACATGATGAGAAGGGCACTTTGTACGTGTGGTTTCCCCACCAAAACTCCTAACTTCAGTCTGACCGTGAGAAGAGCTTCATTCGGATTCCAGCTGAGGGACATGAGACACAGTAACTGACCTGTGTTCCTCAGAACCGTGGCCGTGGCCGTCTTGGAAGAGAGACCCGAGAAGGCTGCAGAGACATGGCAATCCCGGATGTGGAGCCTGGAACGGGAAAGGCTGCGGAGACATGGCAATCCCGGATGTGGAGCCTGGAACGGGAAAGGGGTACTCGTTAGTGGAAAACTTGGTGAAACCCAAATGACGTACGGACTTCAGTTATCTTTTAAAGACACTAAAAACATGTCCCCCCAGCATTCAACTATGAAACACTCCCATGTACAGTTGAAAGCAGTGTGCAGCGAACACCCACACGCGCACAACCGAGAGTCTGCAGTTCAGATTTTCTCATCTCTGCTTCATTACATACCTACCTAGCTATCCACCTTACTTTAAAAACTAGTTCAAAGTAAGTTGCAAACATCAAAATACATAATCCCCTTGCCCCTAAAAAAAACCAAAAAAACAAAAACCTGTTTAAAGTGTAACTTCCACCATGGCTGCCGTCCAACCAGCATCTACCGTCCAGCCAGCGCCTACCAAGGTATTCAGAGTTGGCACTGTGTCTGTCATCGGGCCCTGCTGAGCAGAGAGGAGGGGTGAAAAGGTGCAGGATGCAGGTCATGTGGCAGTTCCAGATGTGTGTCATTAGGGGACATGGCTTGACTGAAGTGGTTTTGTGCGTGGGGGGCATTAGGCCATTGTGGGGTCTGTGAGTGTCCAGGAAATAGCAGCCATTCTCTTGGCCTGTGTTTCCAGTTCCTGCACTGGCATTAACCAATGCAGACCACTTTCCAGGTGGCTGGAAGGGACAGTGCTGAGTGCCCGAGCCGCCATGTAGCACGCCTGAGCAGTTGTTAGGGGAGAGAGCCCTGGCCACTGTTCCCTCCCTTCTGGCCCTCTGGGAAAATTCGTAGAGCAGAAAGAGAGCAGCTTCAGCTCTCCATGGGGGTAGGACTGATCAGCTCATCAGTCAGGAGAGTGTGTAATTATCCGGAAGGGACAGAAATCACGCCCCAAAGGCCACAGACTTGGGGAGTTGCCCAGAAGAGGACCTTACAGCTGCTAACAGTAGTCCTATTCAGCTCGGGTGCATAATGATTTAAAAACTAATGAGGAACCAAAGCCGGAGGCTGGGGACAAACACAAATATCTTGTTGACAGAGCAAACATCTAGGTTTTGTTGGGTAGGAAGTTGCTGAGGAAGGTCAGAGTGATGTAATGGTGTACACCAAGCTTTCATCCTTAAGCAGATGGGCCCCAAGGTACCATCTGCGGCTCCCTGGGGCCCTTCAAAATTACTTCCTATAAAATAAATCCTCCTAAGTTTGTTTTGAGAAATTAGTGTAGAAACTGTACCTGAAGTAAAACTAAACAAAGGAAGGAAATTTCCATTGGAGTTACCTGCTTCCTCCTCCTCCCTTGCCTTATAAATAGATCTGAGACTTACTATGGTGAGTTTTCTTACTGAGCACTTGAGTGTCCGCGCCTCCCCGAGCAGCCGCCTGAGGTGAGCTTCCCTTTCTCGGCTTCAGCTTGGACAGCAGCACTTACTACCACCTGAGCCAGTGTCGGCTAGATAGTTTTCATAAACCACTTCTTTAGCTTTTCTGTTCCGGTTGAGGAGGAACTAGTGTTTTGTTTCTGTTTTTTTCTTTAATCAAAGGAGTATCTGTTTTGGGAAAAAGGGAAGGGATGTTTCTCAGCTTAGATCAGAGGAAGAAAATGTATAGCATCATGTGTAAGTGGTTGATGATGAATTGTAATTGGTCATGTTTTTAATAAAACATTTTAATAAAACACTTCAGGGCTGTTGCATTCATTCTTTGATTTATTCAGTAGTTATTACCCCTCCCTCCATGTGCCAGACCCTGAGGATTCATAATGGACCATGTAGCCTCTCTTCTCAGGGAGAGACACAATCAGAGGAAAAGTGAGGTTTGCCGGAGTTAAAGGAATCTGAGGAGGAATGAGGGTAGACTTCCTGGAAGAGGTGATTCTTGAGGTTCATCTAAAGGAAGTAGCTAGGTGAGCAGGAGTGAGTTGGGCAGAGAGGACAGCTGAGGCGTGGAAGGCAAACTGTGTGTGTGTGCACACTTGTGAACAAGATGGGTAAGTGTGGTGGCGGCGTGGAATGCAGGAGGGAGCTGCAGGAGGGGCCGACGGGAAGGTCGGTTTGGAGTAGCAGTGACGAGCAGCCAGGGCTGTGCCTGTAGAAGTGTGGTGGGTGAGGGACAGGGGAGGGAAGCTGCAGTGTTACTGTATCAGGCTTGCTGGATTGATTGGTTTCTGGGTTAAATGGGGGAAAGGGCATTTGCCAGAGTGGTGCTGAGAAAGCCCACGAAAGACTGAGATGGTTGTCGAGGAGAATGGAAGGGGCTTTTTTAGGGTACTGCGAGCCTTTCTGGGTGTGAGATATTTGAATGTAGTGGCATCTCTCCATAAGTGGTTCGACTTCTCTGGGAACTTTGGGTCCAGGGTTCAGGTATAGGGAAGTAGAGTTGTGACATTAATTCCCCCTGGTGAGACAATTCCCCCTGGTGTGGGGTGAGTCAGGTAATCAATGGTGGGGTCCACACTGCTAGGGAATGAAGAAGGGGACCCAGTCCAGGGAGTGAGGGGGGTGTCAGCACCACAGGGACAGGAGGTTATGGTCAGCAAGCAAGATCACTGGATCGTGCCCTCTGACTCTCAGGCATGGCCAGGGAATGGCTGACTAGGGTCAGGAGCCAAGGGCTAGAGGCTCCAGAGCGGTAAAGTGAGAGGAAGAGGAGGCACTAGGGGCTGAAGCCCCGATTTCAGGGCTTCAGACTGTGAATAGGTGCAGTGATTATCCCCATTTATAGGTGAGGAAACTTAACCTCCAGAGAGCTTAAGTAATGCTCAAGGTCACAGAGTTAATAAATCATGGGCTTCTAATCTGGTGTGGCCAGGCCCCTCCGCCCACCCCCTCCCTCACCCCTGTGCTCTTGTTTCTTTAGGAGCTGACCTGTTGTGGCGAAGGAGCAAATTGTGAACGACGAAGTCCCTCCCCCCTTTTTTCCTGGTGAACAGAAGTTACCAAAAATAGGTAGGTGACAGAATTGTGAGAGTCTCAAAGAAGGATGAATTTTTATACAAGGTTGGAAGGGAAATGGGCTCAGCCAGCACCTCCCCGTCGAGAGAGGCCCTGCCAAAGAAGGTGAGACGGGATGGCAGATCAGTGTTTAATGGATACAGTTTTGGTTTAGGAAGCCAGGGAAGTACCAGAGATGGACGGTGGTAATGGTTACACAACAGTGGGAATGTACTTAATGCCACTGAAGTGTGTGCGTGCTAAAGTGATACATTTTACATTCTATGTATTTTTACCACAGTAAAAAATTAAAAGGAATGGAGGGAAAAATGGTAATTATTGCCATTTAGGAAACACTTTTCTGGCACAGAATGGGCATTTATTAAATATAGGAATGTGTGCTGGGTTTTGCTAAATGCTTTAGGTGTATTTTTAACTTATTGGTCACTTTCAGGGATAAACCCTACTGGACAGATGAGGCACCTCAGGTTGGAAGAGATCAGTCAACTTGCCCAAGGTCATACACCCACAAAATGGTGGATACTGTGCACTGCCAGACCCCCCAACTCCAAAGCCTCTTTTAGTAACCCCTAGGGAATTTAACAAGGGAAAGACGGTTCCAGGGGCTCGAGAGTGGGAGTGGGGGGTGGGGAAGGGGTTGTTGGTAGAGGGAGGACTGCGAGAGGAAAAAGGCTGGGTGAGGAGAGGAGAGTGGGGGCCAGGGAGCAGTGGGACCACTGGGATGAGAGGTCGGACACTCGGATGGTCCTGGTGTGTCTGGATTGGGCATGAGTGGTGATGGAACTGGTGAAAGGTCCAGGTAACACTGACCTGGTCTCAGAAGGAGTTTGGGAGCTCCGGAGAAGCTTAAGGGCCCAGTATCAGGGGTTGAGGTGTCTGCTGTCTTCAGACAGTCTTGTTGGTAGAAGATTCTTCCCGGATTTGGGACCCACAGTGGGAGGAGAGGCTAGAGGTACAGCCAGCACAGAGATGGGGCTCAGTCTCTACCTGCTTTCTCATCTCCCTCCCTCCATCCTTCCCTCCCCCCCATTAAGTCTGAAATCAGCAACCCGATACTGACTTTAGGTGCACGAACACATGGAGGAGGCCTCCGTGGCAGTGGTGAGGAGGGTTGCCTATTTCTGATGCTGAGAGCAGACACTGGGGGTGAGGACAGATGATGGCCAACTCCCTGGCTTTGCAGCTGACCAGCAAACTGCAAACGTTTTGCCGCCGATTTTCTTTCTTTTTAGCAGAACAGTATGAAATACACACATTAGGAAACAGGCGTTTTTGAGGTTGTAACCCCAAAATCCTAAGGTGTATCCTGTCTTCAGGGGCGGCCAGTGGCATTGGTGACCCCTGGATGAAGAGGTGGGCCTGCTCAGATATTTAAATTCAGTGAGGTGAGTGATCTAAGCTGTTTACGAGGGAAGTGCTCTCTTAGGAGTTCCTGTTACCATTTTCCTCCACGTGTTTACTTTGGATCAGCAGAATTCTTTCATTCTGCTGGTGCTTTTAGATTTTGTACTGAAAGGTAGGCTGCTTGAGCAGTGCTTTCTGGGTAACAGTGGTGGCCATGGAGAGCATAGCCTGTGGTTGTGATTAGATGATACTTCTGAATAAATAAAGAGGTGTCCTCATGGCAGGTCCTGGCAAGGGCAGCCTGGAAGCCGTCATTGCTGGGAATGAAGTTGCTCTGCAGTTAAACTTTGCAGCTGTCAGAGGCACAGCAGTGTCTCGCTGTAGCCTCCAGGTGCAAAAGGCCCTTCATCAGCCTCATCAAAAAGCGGTCCTGGGAGGATCAGCAGGATGTTCTCCACTGCAAGTCCTTTGCAGAACCCTGTTCCTGTCTGTGATATTTTTACCACCAATTACTGGTTGGATCTGTAGAGCTTTACATCAGTTCTTGTCAAGGAATGGAAGAGAATCAACGTGCTTGCTGGCACCAAATTCTGATGAATCATTTACCTGCCTTCTCTGCTGTTTTTCTGTGGCTAGGAAAGATTTGGGGGCTAGGAAGAAGAAGGCAAATGGGATTTCCCTTAAAATGAAAATAGGTCTAAGATATTAATAACTAAAGTAGCTCTTAGTCTGGAGAAATTATAAGGCTAACATAATGAGTGGTTATCTTCTGGACCAGGTGCCTTCCGAGCATTATCTAATAGGTTCCTTGAGAATAGGATCTTGTCTTTTGTTCACTTGCGAACAGGATCTTGTCTTTTGTTCTCCTCTCTATCCCCCAGCCAAGAACAGGGCCTGGGACAGAGCTTAATGAGCTGGATGCAGATAAGGATTCTGAGGCTGAGGAGGTTAAATTGCCTTGCCACACCATTAATAACTGGGATTCCTTGATCTGGCAGGTAGATGAAGAAAGTGGAAGGATGGAGAATGATGTCTTCAGAGACTCTTCTTGGAAATATTAAAGCTGTCTGGAGTTTTACAAAATACATTTCCCCATCTATTAAAATACTAAATTTATAATTAATTTTATTAAAGTGAATATTGTATGATATAATTTTATAGTTGTAACATTATGAAGATAACTCAATGAGAAAAACTTAGAATAGTGTCTGTACTTTGCAAGTGCTTTCTGTGTTTGAAATTTTTCCCTGAATGTCATTTATTTTTAAAAGGATGTTTGTTTACTTGGTTTTAGTTTTCAAGTAAAGCAAAAAAAATTTTTTTAATTATGGAGACTGACTTTAAGAATAGACCTAAATGAGAAAATATAGTTCAGAGATATAACAGGAAAGCCAAGTGTGAGGGCTGATTTTAGTAATAAGAATATTATGTTATCATTTAAACACTACACAAATATAAAACGTTTATTAGCCAAACAACTAGAATGAAACATTGTAGTAAGAGTTGTCCATAGAGCACCAAGAAGGTGTGTTATAAGGAAGTGTTATTGTTTAGCCCAGTAGTCTAAACACTTTTCACATAGCAATCCTCTCAGTAAAGTACTTTTTGCTTATACTTGCAACATTGATATATTTATGAATTATAATCACACATTGTTTACTAATAAGCTATTTGCATTGAAAATGCACAGAAATAGACATAAAAGAATGAGATAAGTAAACATGATTAGACAGTCTAATAATTTTCTTTCTAATGCAGGAGATCACCTGATACTCTCCTCTTTTTATCTGGTTTTGAAAGACTAAAAGTAATCCAGAAGGGAAACCATGTGGCACTGTTTGAAGAAGAGTTTGCTAGTTTTTTGGAGTGATATGTGGATGAGAAATTGACAGAGAGGTAAACTATCAGGCAGATTGAGTGTAGGATGTTTTGGGTGTAAACTAGAAGGCTCTCCCTGGCCATCCGCCTGACTGTGCTGGTGAGGTGAGCCCAAACCACACCCCTGCAGATGAAAGTGTCCCTGCTAGAGTGGCCTGAACACTTCCCCATACCAATTATGCTGGACATGCGAGAGGGAAAGATGCAGTTCATGTACAAAGTATGCAAAATTGCTTTAAATTGGAAAGGTATTTCAACCATTTGAAAGGAATAGACCTGAATAAAGTAATAAGGAAAGCAAGTTAATTGTTTGGAAGTGAGAAAATGGAGATAAGGTGAAGTCACTGGACTTGACCTGACCTTGGCAAAAGCTGTGGGTGGATGGCGGGGCACTTAAGGAGGCACTTTGTTCACAGCCCCCAGGAGAGGTTAGGGCGGAGGCAGCTGAAGTCTCTGGAAGGGCAGGAGCAGATGGCCTGGAGTGGGGCACTCATTGTCGTTATTGTGGAATGTTCGGTGCTAAATTAGTCTGACTTTCTGAACAAATTAACAGTTTTTAAGATTGTCAAATACTGGCCTTATTTCTGGGTTTAAAAGATCTCAAGAAGGGAGACTACGAAGTTAATAGACTTCTGTTCCTGCCCCTGCGGAGAGTCCATGATAGCGCTCCTCCGAGGGGAGTTCTCGGCCGGACACTTTGGTGCCCACCTCAGAGTGGCGGGCGGTAGTGGGTGTGCATGCATTTGGGATGACCGTTGGGGTAGATGGATCATCTACAGGTTTCTGTTCCTCTCTGGGACTGGGTTTAACTGCTGTGATAAGTTAGGAATTTCAGACAGATTTAGAATTTAAATGGTTGTTTCTGGAAGAACTAAAAGCAGACTGGAGAAATAAATGATAGATTTGGGCAACGCTTCATTCGAGATTGTGCTCAGCTATGTGCTTAGTACTGCACAGAAAGTGAAACTGAACAGCATTTCCATAGTGATGGCATTTTATTGATTATCCGTACATAAAATACATAAGTGCTATTGGAGTATATTCAGCAGAGCATTTCACATCAAGAGAGGAAAAAAACTTCTTCTGAAAATAGGTGGGCTGAATATTAAAGAACCAGTGGAAATAGCGTATATGGATCTTTATGGGTACCCTCTATTTCCTTAGGAACTTCCTTAAAGGATCAGATACATTTTCTTACATGGTAGTTATAATATCATTCAGAGAACATCAGTAGTAAATATTCCTGTCCTTAATTTTACATAAAAGAGGCTTAGCCACTCACATACGTAACTGGTTGATGACTTTATGGCCTCGATGGGCAGGGCAATCTGAGAAACTGTGATAGTTGGCAAATACTTAGACACAACAGGGATAGAATTAGAAACCGATAAAATAAGGATTGGGGGTTGCTGGGAGTCCTTGAGAAAAGTGGCTGAACAAAGAGTGACTCAAGGAAAAGTTATGCTGACTCCAGAAACATTACTCACTAGGGGAACGCAGCCGTGTCCTTCCTAACCCTTTGAGTGAGAAGTCGTGGGAGTGTTAGTCGCGGGCCAGGCCCATGGTGGGCGTGCCCGTAAACCCTGCCGGCCCTCCTCACCATTGTGGGTACCCGGGGCTCTGGTGCACAGATCATAATCTGTCCGTTCTATCTCAGGGATGTGGGAGGGAAACGACATTCAGAACTATGTGTTGGTAGCAATGAATGAAAGCCTTTAAAATGTTTCTTTTGCCCTGCCCAGTTGGTTGGAGGGTTGTCCTGCACACCAAAA